TTCGTAGATGATCCTGCATCATATTCCATACTTCTCCTCATGCTGTTACCAAAATTCTTCTAATGATGCTGGCCATAGGTTTCTTCGGAGGTTCCTGGGATGTGGCTCCAGCTTACGATAGAGCCTAAGCAGAGCTATAGCCCCAGGTATAACTGGACAAGTCCCATGAGCATCCAAGTAGAGGTTTCCTGGCGCTGTTGGCGCCAAGCCCACACAAAGGTCCAAAAGTGATGAATTAAACGGATTGCGACGCCAGGGGCACCATCCCTGTGACTGCCGGCACTTTTAAGACGCGACGAAAGCACAAGGAAGTAAACGTGACGACAGTTAGAAGGATGGTACTGTAGCTTTGAGGCATCAAAAACGATGAGACTCTGAGGATTGCGACCCCGAGGGGCCCCATCCCTGTGACTGTTGGCATTTCTGAGAGTCTTGGGCTGGGGGGCACCGTACCATGCGGGGGCGGGTGGAGGAACCCCATGACCAGGAATACCAGGATCATATATGGCAACTCGGTCCTGCCCACTATTAGGAGGACCCTGCATCGATTAGATCATCCAAGTTTTCAGAGACTGGATTGAGCAAAGTTCCTCCTGCATTCCTGGCCGAAGCTTTGATGTGCAGGGCTTCGAGTTCCGGATGTCATCCTGACTGGTTCGTGCGAAACCGAGATCGGAAATCTGGATTTCATTGTGCAGGAATTCATTATCACACAAACCGTAGAGGACGCCCACACTGTTTTCCGCGGGTAAGCCTTGGCATGTACTATCAAGCAACTGAGAGTTTTCCTGTTGCGCTTTTCAGGACATTGTGAAGGCGCCTCGCAAAGAGTGGCATCGCATGGAATGTGAGATCCTGACAGCACTTAAGAGAGCACCGATTGTGGATCCAAATGACGCTGCCCCCATGTCGCTTGACTGCCCTCAGCTGATGGTTTGTCAACCTCATTGCTCCGGATGTGGGATGAGGTTGTTATGATGTGATGGTTTTGCTGTCTCGCATTGTCAAACCAATGGCGAACCAAGAAGAGGCAAGTGGTTTTGTGCGGTGGTCAGAGTTACCGACCATCACGCAAAGAGAATGATTGCTCGCAACTACGTAACTTTCACTCGAGCTTCCAAGTGAGGGTAACTGAACAGCGTAGATTCAAGTGCAAGGCCTACAGTAGCGAAATGCTTCAAGCCCAACATAGATACCAGGTGTCAGATACTGTTAGATTAGTTGCTGTTCTGCAGGCTCCCAAAACCCGCGTTGGCTTTGGCCCACTGCTTGCCCCTTCTGCCACCTGCCCAGGTTGTACTTGAACAGCCTGGACAAGTACTTGCTTTGGCTACGTGATTTGGTGCCACCAAAGCTTACAGACATTGTCAAGGCAGCGCACTTGTGTAGTGTAGTGTAGACACCTTGCAATGATTTTTGACGAAGTGCAGGCTTTGGATGATTTCCGGCGTGATTGTTGGCACCTGAGTTGTTGCAGCAGAGATCGTCCCCTCCTTCTGCGCTTCAAGCTGCTTTGCTTTGAGGCCCCTCAGCAGGACCTTCACCTGCGATTCTCATGCACCAGGACATCAACAACGGAAACCTCCTTGCTTCCAAAGTGGATGAGGCCGCGTGTGTAGTGCTCAAATTATGACTGCTTACCTCTGAGGGCACTGTTCAGAGGATTCAGAATATTTCGCAAGTAGCACGTCAAACCATGCACAGGCACAATGGAAGTTGGACGCCGTGACCCACGTCTGCAGGGTTTCTTCAAGAGTGAACGCTGATGCATAATGGGGCAACTAAGGATTGATTGGGAGACGGCTGCCGTGGGACCATCAGAGCTTGCTGAGCGCCCGATGCAGGCTTGCTCCGTGAGAATTTTTACTGTCGCTGAACTCCATTTTCCTGAGCTAGTCCGTCTTGTTTCTGCTCTCCATGTCAATATACTTCAACCCATCGGCACCAGGAGCAGTGGCGAACTGCGCTGGCTTTTGGAGATGTTGTGAAGGACATGACACGAGTGACGCGGTAGCTCGAAAGGCAAGGGTGAGCAGTGACGTGGTAACTGTTTCGTCTCAGGGTGCCTGGCTAGCTGGTCGCATGGCAAATGGTGATCTGCCACGATGCGTGCTGGAGGCTGCTTCTAGGCACTGGCTGGCAAGTGCCCTGCTTGCACTCAAAATGCGAGGAGCTGGCAGAGGATTATACCAAGTCTGCCAGAAAGCTGCATCGTCGGACTGGGCTCCATGCTGCATGATAGCCTTGGTAGAGAGCGGCGTTGAATTGCATTCCCAAATTCTCGAGCAGGAACAAGCTCAGCTTCGTGCCGTGGGCGAGCTTGGTGCGACAATGCCAAGCAGAAGTTGCTTGAGCCACCTGTGTCATTGAGGTGCCATGGCATTTGTACAGAATACCTTTAGCTGCCTCGCAGATGGAGAAATGGCAGATCTGATCAGCGGAAAGCATCAGCACGCTAGGTGTAGATTCAGAATAGATCAGTACACGCAATCGCCGACGGTAGTGCAGGGAAGCCACAAGAGGGCTGGGGCTAGCAACAACGACCAGCTTAGCTATCCCGTGCCCAACCAAGCGTTTTCGGTCTTCAGTCCTGAAACTTTACGAGATGGAGGAGAGGCAGACCCTTTGGATGCCTTTGGTGGTGAATGTCCTGACAGCCAGCATGTTCGCAAGCACACATCTTGCAGGTACTTTGTGTCCCTTGCTTACTCGAAGGACACTGCCGTGTTGGTCGCTTTTTGGCTTGTGTGCCAACAGGCACAGCACGGGCTTCTGGCAGGACAGAAAGGGCAATCCCAGGCTGACCTGGATGGCAATTGGGGCGCCTCGGTGTGGCATCCATTGCCACAGTTGCAACAAGCTGGTGTATCCTCTGAGGTTATGCTCAGCTCACTGCTTTTCAGTGTTTTCTGAACGCGGCAACGTTAGCATGGCTAGCCCATGCTGTTTGGTGCAGCCTCAAAGTAGGCTGATCGAATCAACCTTGGGCAGAGCGCAGCAATGACGGCCAAGCTCCATGTATGTCCAACGATTCTGCGCTTCCATTCCGCCTTGCTGCTTGCGCAACATCCCTGCCTTTGCTTGTTCATCGCTGCCATTGTGCTGCGAGAGCTTCAGGCCGCTGCGGCTCAGCACTTTACAGAGATTGCGTGGTTGTGCTTGTGAACGCTCAAGGCTGCTACCACATGCCTAGTTGAACTGGTACTGTCCGGACCTTTGCGGACCGGTTAGGCTAGTGGCAGAGTGACCTGTGCCAATAATGTGGCTCAAAAAAAGTTTTCGTTCCCGCTCGTATCGCATGATGGGCGGTGGTGTCTCATCAGAGGCCCTGTATTTGGTTGCACCGCCCCACTGCATCATGAAGCTGCTTGTAGAGTATATGTAGGCTTAGGCTCCTTCATTCAGAGCCTTGCCATGCATCTGCTCCTTATCCGACACGGCCAGTCCAAGAACAACATCCTAGAGGCTGCAAGGATAAAGTTGTGGCAGCCAATGCTCAGGATGCTCTCTTGTTTATTTGCCAGGCAGAGCATGGAGCTGGAAGGGAATTCAATTCCAAAAGATCTGTGGACCCTCCGCTCTCAGAGCTTGGATTGCTTCAGGCCCTCTCCCTGGCTGACGTGGTTATGACACGGCAGATCCTGACACAAACAGCCATTCTTCTGCAGGCGAAGCTTCTTGGAAAACGATTGGGAGCCCAACTTTGCAGGCCAGAGAACAGTCACAGTATGTCACCAGCTGCATGTTAAGCTGATATCCAGTCAGGTCAAAACACAGGGTCCGATTGCTGTCCAGCAGCATGACGCATTGCCCTCAGGATCCCAAGCTGCATCTTGTCTGCTCAATGTCGAGCCGCGCACAAACCTGCCTGTCAGGCGTGCTCTTCAGACCGTGCAGCCTTTGGCGGATCAGTTGCAGCTGCCGGTGACGGTGCACCCCGACATCCACGAAGTCAAGGTAGGGCAGTCTGTTTTTAGCTTCAACTGCCTTCACCCACGCATGGACGCAACTAATTTCACAGAGTCATGAAGGAGGGGGTATCTTCTGTTAGCAAATGTACGAGTGTACTGGTGCGAGCCACCCATGCTTCAGGGCTTCTATGACACCAACGGAGAGGGTTTAGCTGTAGCCTCAGCATCCAGCTCAACCAACTCTGGCTTGCCAATCGGAAAGCACAGGCCTGCGGTCCAGCAAAAGCAGATATCGAAAAACGCTTCCCAGGCGGGGGGCAGTAGACATTGAACCATGAGTAGCTTGTTTGCAGTTGCAGCCCCTTGAGTTCGGCCGTGAGGTTTCGATGCATCGCAAATTCTTGAAGGGCAAGGATTCTGCCGGAGTGTAGCGCGTTCGGGGCTTGTGGAGTCCCTGCGTTCCGGGTTAATAAAATACAATGTTTAAGGGGCTTCACCCAGGAGCGGGCGACGCAGTCGAGGCCATCCCACCCCCCCCCCGAACAGCTTCATGGAGAAACGAGCCCCCAATGATGCTGATGATACTGGCGCAGGGGGCCATTGGGGGCTCGTTTCTCAAATCTGAGTCTTCCGGCACCCCCTCCAACCCGCAAAAATTGGTGCCTCGGTTTTGAAGCGAATCCCCTCGCTACGGAAGGATTTTTGAATGATTTTTTTTTGGTGTCCCAGGCCGCCAACCAAAATATCATGAGCATTGACTTTTTTGAAAACCTGAAGAAATTGTAAGATATTTGTTCAGCTCTCTTCTGCTCTCACAACGGACTCAATCACGAGCATGTTTTGTATAGCCTAAGAAAGGACCCGAGACAATTGCAGAGGCGTGGAACGCTTTAGCAGATGGTGAAAGAGTGCCAAATCTGGGTTCTTACTGTGCTTTGTTTCAATTGTCTACATTCAGGCTGCTGCTCGGGGCAGACGGTTGGTGGATACGCTGTGGCGATGGACTAAGACAGGCAATGAAGAGGACAGTCCTCAGGCTGTGATGCAGTGCAGCAAGCAGTTGCGAGTTGCTTTGCCAGTCGCTTTGCTAGGACATTGTCATTCTTGTTTCGCACAACGACTTCCTGGGCTTGATCGGGCATTGGGGAGTTGTTGGAACATTTTGCAAAGTATGTGCGGCACATGCCGTCGTGACGCTCGTTTCCTGTTCTAGCCAGATGCAAGGCGTCTTCTGCTGGTCCCGTCGGGGGCCAACGATGTGCAGACAGCGACGGAGCCAGAGCAATTGTTCAAAGAGAGCAGCTGGGACGCGAAGGGGCGGGTGCGTTTGTCATCGGACAAGCTGCTATTTAAAAAACAGCTTAGATATGGTGTAAGCATGCTTTCGCAGCAATCGAAAATCAGGCTACTGGCCCATGAACAACACTGGCATCAGCCACTTCGTTCTGGGGTTGAGGCGGCCTCTGAAAGCTGGATTTGAAAGTTACCGTTGTCCAAGTTGTCAGATGTCTCAGGCCACCTCACGGCGCGTACCAGGTAGACATCTACCTGCCTCGCAGCAGCACCACTGGTCTTCTCGCGCAGACTTGCCAACTCGTAGACAGAAAGTAATCGAATTGAATGCGTTCCAGGTTGTACTGGAATCGCAGCGATCATCTGAGCGAGCGGCAGAGAAGTGGAGTCCCACTAAAGAACATCGGCTATACGGCAGCGGCAGAGTGGGCTCGCGCTTCTAGCCTCGCAAGATCTTGCAAGCAAAGGCCGTTTCTTAGCATGCTGTGCCAGCACGGCCGACTGAGCCAGCTGTTTGCGGTGCTTTCCTTTTTTTCCCAAAATCTCCGAGGTAGGAAGAGGTGGGAGCAACCGGCAACCTCTATTCCGTGAATCAGCGGTAACACATCGTCCTCATCACTGGCAGGCTCGGGGCTGACGGTGTAGTCCCTTACCCCTGGCTGCAGACGAGCTCTGCGGCTCTGAACAGATTATAGGTCCGGGACGGCGGGACGCTGGGATGCCACTTAAAACGACATAGACCCAGAAATGACGCTGGTCGTAGTCTCTGAAAAGGATGCATGCAGTTGCGGATGGTAATGTTCTGAAATGTTGCAAAGCCCTGCCACTGGACAGGGTGCTGCGGCTGCAGCTGGCATGACAGCGCTCATAAGCACTGCGTTGCTTGCCATCATCTTAAGGCGACTGTGAAGATGTGAAGCAGAAAAGGGACAACCGGTCTCATATGCCGCTGCTGCTGCTGCTGCTGCTGCTGCTGCTGCTTCCTGATTGCGCTTCCGGCGGCATGTATGCTGCGCACCGGTTGCTGCACCGGAAGTTCGCCGCCTGTTCTCACACAACACACATGAGCAGGAGATATGTGCTTGAACATGGGCATATTTGCCAACCCAACCCAACTTGTCCTTCGAATACCCACCAGACTGCCACGACATTGCTCATTGATGCTCATTGTGTTCTAGCTTGGTTCATCTGCGATGGCTAATCCATCCTCAATCGACAAGTCACTCAGCGCTCTTTTTGGCCGCACGTGCCTCATGACGCCATACTTGGCATGGCAACATTTGTGAGGCAGGCACGTCTGCTGTGCTGTCCAGCCGTGAGCCAGTTCGATGCAACAGTTACCGCTTTGCAGGGTTGAGCTGCTGCGTGATGGTGATGTTTGTGGCGTGCTGCCTGGGCAGCACACCGTGTTTGAGGCGGGTATGCGGCCTTGCGTAGAACATCAACTGACCTGTACGGGCCTGGAATAGCTCTGAAGGCGGATTCCGGCTCACTACTTCAAGCTCTGCGGCTCAAAGATTCCTTCATGGCACTGCGCCGCGGGCGCGTTCAGACTTTTCAGGCCTGATTCTTGTTCGAGCAGCATCTTCTTAAGAAATCTTGGAAAAGATATGAGCACATACTGGCAATAGCGGCAGCGCGACACGCAGAAAGAGACTAAAAGGGCTGCTTCTGTCTCTTCTGACGCTGACATGGTAGCTACTGATGCTAACTTGAAATCTATGTCCGATCATCACGCGCCAGCTTTGACCTCAGCAGATGCTGGAGCGCCTGGATGTGTTGCTATGAATGGGACCGCTGCTGTGCAGATGTCTGTTACTGAGACGGGGAGCGATGTTGTTGCAGGCCAATACTGGCTCTGTTGCACCATTGAATGTTCGTCCAACCATTGTGTTTCCGCCGCCCACTGGTTGGGGAGACCAGACAAGAACAAGACAAAGAAGATCCCACGTGTAGCCTTCGGATCGTCACTATTTAAAAAGGGTCTCAAAGACCTTTCTTTTGAGCGGTGCTACAAGCACTCACCCTACAGCGCCTGCAATGCTTAGGCATTAGGACGCTCTGCCATAGCTGACAGAAGTCCGTGAATAATACTATGGTAGCCAGTATAAAGTCAGATTATACCCTTCTTTTGGAGTATAGTATCTCATATACGTAGTATAGTCTTACCTGGTTCAGTCACCAAAAAGAACATTACTCAAATGGCCAAGTGCATTCGTACACATTGAGGCAAATTGTCAGGCATCGTAAGACGTCCAACTTTAATGCCTTCAAGCTCAAGAAAAGCCCAAATGGCACACGTAAACTGCATGTCAACTTGTTGTTTGTTCGTGAGTGGCCTCTTACAATGCGTTAGCAAGACAATGAAACATCGTGTGCGCTGTTTGCGGCACTGCAATGATGACATGGCGTCGCGGCCGTCGTTCTCATGTCAACTGTGCGCTTCAGCTACTTGAAGCCCCATTGTCTCAAACAGGCTATCAGATCAGGCAATGAAACTGCAGGGCCAATGGAGCCTGAAATGCAGCAAAAGTCGAGTCAGCTTTTCAGACCCTGCAGTCCTGGGCACCCCGCACACATTTGTGGCGCTGGCTCGTTTTGAACTCCTGATTTCAGAGCAACAGGTGTCGGACCGGTTGGACTGGCAAGCTTTGCTCTAGAAATCGAAGCCGACACAATCTCCAAGGCAGTAGCACAACCCTGGGGCAAGCCACAACAGCTAGCAGCATGCTGACCAGGTTCAGGACGAACACCAACGGACACACCTGAACACATTAAACTTTGGTAGGCCGTACGAAACCTAGAGGGGTCGGGCTCCAGCAGGGTTAACAGGATGCGATATGAAACTCATTTGAAGTAGTTTCCCGAATTTATAGCGAAGGGCTCTTGTTTTATCTTGTTTTGAAAGTTGGGAGTGGTGGGTTAATGACGTGGCTGGGGACCGTTACCTCAGTGGCCGCAATCGTTTGTTTTTGTTCAGACCGTTGGATCCGGGTCATGTACCAGAAGCGCCAATAGTCACTGGTCTCAGAGACTGCAAGTCAGAGATGCGATCCTCGCAACTGTCGCTGGCTTTTGATTCTTGATCTTCGACCATGCATCGCAAAATCTTGTGCTTTCGCGTCCAAGGTCTTCAAATTGTTGCTCGAAACCGCGCTCTCGCACTGCGCAGTCACTTAACGTCGTCCTCACATTTTGACTATACAGGTTACAAAGAAGAGTGTCTACCTGGAGAACCTTTCACGCTTTTTAATTGGTCGTTTAGATTTTGGCTTGATTTTGCGGGCGTTTCTTTATTTTACGGGCGAGGTTTCAAATTATGGTTGTTTCCGTTTTGACCCTCCAAATTATGGTCGTTTCGTTGCTTGTGCTGAAGCGAGCTCTTGAGCCCCAGTGGTTTCGAATCACGGCTTTTTACGTTTTTTTTTTTAACGGTTTTCTACGGCTTTATTACGGGTTTTTTACGGTCGTTTTTTCGAATCTGAATTTGGTTTCGAACCCCTGGCTTTCGAAACCTCTTCGGGCTCTAGCTTGAGCCCGGTGGTTTCGAATTACGGGTTTTTACGGTTTTTTACGGGTTTATTAAGGGTTTTTGATTTTTCGAATCTGAATTGGGTTTCGAACCGCTGCTGGCTTTCGAACCCTCTTGGGGCTCTAAATTGGCTTCGAAACCTGCCTTCGAAAACTCATGTTCAAACCGCTGTCGCAGATTTACGGTTGTTTTGGCTTTTCATGACCCCTTTTCGGAGCCTGAAGTTCAAACCTCGACACATGATTTTACGGTTGTTTCGTGCGCGGTTTTGCGGATTTATGGTCGTTTTGCTCGTTTCTGTTGGCTGTGAAAACCTGGCATAGGCCAATAAGAAATATGGGCGTTTCACCCCAGAAATTACGGGCGTTTGAGGAATTACGGGCGCCCCTTGAAATTACGGGCGTTGGATGAAACCACGCACATTTTACGGTCGTTTGTTAAAAAAACACATTTTTTCAAACGATGCTTTTTTCTTAGTGGTTTTGGTTCTACAGGTACTAAATATTTACGGCCACCAACCAGCTAACATGTCTTGTTTGGCCGTGGTTGCAAGAAGTGTCACAGGGATTAACAGGAAACATGGAAAAACCCTGTGGAATTTCACACGGGATGCTGAAGTGTTCATCGAATTTGATGGTGGGCTAGAAGGGTGGCTATGAAATCCTTACAGGTGCAGCTAGGAAGACAAACAAGACTTTCGAAAAACAGGAGTCCTAAACTTGACCTGACCTGAGCCTCGAGACAAAGAGGTCTAAAAATCGGCGCAGTCGAGGCATAAGTGGGAGTGGTCAGGACAGCCGGGAGCGCAAAAGGCATTGGTAAGATTTGGTGCAGGCCAAGGTCAGGGTAGTTTGCGGGCCTGGTGAGGTGGCCGGCCTTGAGCTGCATCTTATATATGGAAGTGTTGAAGATACGGCATGCTGTCCTGAATTGGATCTTCAGCATCGCCAGAGAAAGGTAAAATCGTAGGGAAGCAAGAAACATTGTTGAACACCACTACTTATACTGCTTGTACCCCAAAGCCCTTCACCCTGTCCGGAGCCTAGATCCTGGCGGCCCGGCCAAGTGCATCTCCTCAAATCGACCTCAACCTACTCATGGGGTAGGGGCGGCTCATGTCTAATCACCGCCCCTCAGACAAAGGCCGTGCCTCTCAAGGGTCAAGGGCAAAGGGCAAGGGTGGAAGCAGGGGTTTCGCGCAAAGGGGTCAGGATTGGGTGACGGGAATACAGCATCAGGTAAGGGAGGGCGATAAGGATGCGATATGGGTCGAGCTAAGGGTAATGGTGAGGGCTAGATGATAGCAGAAATTAGGGAGCAAGGGCCAAGGCAATTGTGCTACAGGTATGAGGGGTATTTTAAGGATGGGCTGGAAAGGATCCGTGAGGCGTGAGCCAGATGTCAGGGTTCAAATTGCCAGCAGTTACATAGATCGCAAGGTATGGATATCACAACCTGGAACGCATGTTGGCCTGGTTGTTGCTGCGCAGGTCTCCCGTCAGCTGCCATCCGCTTCGCTGGTGAGATACCCACCTCCTTTCGGACCCATCTCCGAGGCCACATGGAACTTTGGAACCAGCAGCAGTGCTTCACATGCAACTTCCGGGTTGAGCCGCGAATCGGATAGGTACCTTGTGTTCAGAGTACCAGCAACTCAAGCATTCGCAGCTGAGCTGCCTTGATGGTATGCGCAGTCTCAACAGTGCATGGGGCTGCGGTTGGGATCACAGAGATCGATTTCTCTAGGCTGGTAGTCAGGGTCCTGTCATTTGCGTGGTATGTGTGAGAGATCGACGCGACGTGAGCCTATACAGTCTGATCTGGCCTGTATGTGTGTGTGTGTGTGTTCTCTGTCCCTGCATGGGCTGTTAAATTACTAACACGAACTTACGCAAACACTTAGTGACATGACAAACCTGAGATCTTCATCCTGTTTCCCGCAGGTGGAGTGCGGGCAAGTCGGGCCCTGTGCTCTTCACAAGCTGCCCCAGCATAGTTCTGTCGATCTGAGGTCCTTCAGCGTGCAGAAGGTTTTCTTGGCCTCGACATCTCAGAGGCCATGCCTGTAAGTCAAGTTTCTGAGCGTGATGACGCGTGGATCTTTGATGCGTCGTCACGGGCAAGCACCACTTCAATCCACTTAAGCTCTGTTCTTAGTCGCTGGCTGCAGGTCAGAGAACGCCTGCTACAGCTTGGGCTCAGTGACCAAGCTGGCGTGGAGGCACGTATTGGCCTTCCTGGCAGTTAGGGCCAATGCTCTGCACAGGGGAATCCTGTCATGAGGCTGTTGCGGAAAGTTTGGTAAGCTTCTGCGTCACTGGCGTGTCAAGCGCTCGCATAACAGAATCAAACCTGTCAAGGGATGACTGACCTGGATCACAAGGTGCCGTTTGTGGAACGTCGAAGATGCCCATAAACGTGCAAGGCGCGGAAAGGCTAAACCCAATGTGCGACGTACTTGAGTTGTAAATCAGTCTGGCGGCAAAGCCTAATGCCAGGCGTGCATCGGCAACTGCAGAGGTCAGAGAGTCTTCCCTCAAGTGCAGTGGCACAGCGGCTAGAGTTCTCAGGCCCGCGTTTGTTTCTCCTCAGGCTGAAAGGCAGGCACTTGCATGACGCGATCTTCAACAGAGGTGTGATGATGTGTCCAACATCGTGGATGATGACGCAGGCTTCTGCAAAGAGCAAGTGAGACAAGAGACAGCGGAAGACTCGCAAACCAGCAGGTTTCTGCATTCATCCTGGTCAGTCTTCCATGCATGCGTGCGCACCATGTGTGGCAAAGCCGACTGTGCTCATATTGCAGCGGCAAGCGGCATCACTCGAAATTGAGAAGGTCGTGCATTTGGTGCGGTGTATGGGACCGTCAGGCCATCGAAATTCGAAGCCGTTGCCAGGCCTTGTTGGAAGTTGAATCCTTGTCTCCTCTTGCGCTTTTTTCTGCACGGAGGTGCCTTGCCCGCAGTTCCTGAGAAGCTACAGGAGACTTCAGCCGTCCCTGCAGTTTGGTCACAGGGTCCTTGATTGTGAGGAAAAAGCCATTTCCACGGCTATTCACGTAGGCTGCCGTGGGTGGCTGCCTCATGGCATCCATGTGTTTCAGACTGTAGCTGCGTAGCTCGAATGCAGAAAGCAAGCAGGCCTGCAGCGCGCGTTGCTGGAGCTGCTGCAGCCATGACTGTGGAGGGCTACGCGAGCCTCTGGCACATGCTTGGCATTCATATCTTGCAGATGCCTGGACTTTTTTGTGTAGCAAGTGCCAGGTTGTACAAAGAAATTGGTCGGCACTGCGAGCAGCTGGAGGCAGGTCAAAACCAACGGATCTACAGCGAATCAGCGACGCTATGCGACGCTGCAGCTCTTTGAGGTGAAGAACATCAGCTCAGATCAGTTCACAGTTGGGGCCCCGGCTGTTTAAGGGTTGCTGGAGCACAAAAAAGAGTCAGCAGAATCATGCAGAATCAAGAGAAACCGGACAGCGTTGCAATGATGGCGAGAATGCGCGTGAGGGAAGCTGTACTCTAGTCACGTCTGCAGAACATGGTGGAGGTCCATTTGCAGATGAAACTCGGGTACCTCCCTTCTAGACATGGCTTTGACTGGTTTTCGCCAGGCGGAACGCTTGTCTCTTTCGCAAGGACAGTAACCGACTGGCCATAATGTGGTGGCCTGATCAGTGTGGGGCCCCCCCGGCCCCCCAAACAAATAGGGGGGCCCTTATAGTGTAAGGGGGGGGGGGGGTACCCCCCAAACAATCCATGGTTTTAAGGTTTTAATTGAAAGTCAATAGGAGGGATCAGCCCAATCTAGATCGTAGGTTTTGAGTAAAATTACCCTGGTGCCAAACCCGTGCAACCATTGGCATGGCGCAGCCTTCTTAGGCCAACAAAGGTTTCAAGTCTTGTTCAACTCAACTCCTTGAGGCCAAATGCCTGCATAGCAAGGTGATGTTGGTTGCTTGTGAAATGTTTGAAAACACTCGTGATACAAAGGGACCAATCCTGTGCTTCAGCGAAGCACACTTTTGTTATGACATGGAAAGGTTCGTTATGCGCTGAGACATGTTGCACCCCTCAGCGCTGTGAGTCGTCAACCTGAGCCCAAACACCGGCAGTGCAGCCACCCTCAACTGCAGTTGTGGTGCAGGGCACTAAGCCTGACATGCAGCACCAACGTACAAAAGCAAACAATCTGCTGACTCTAGCCCACCTGTACCAAAAGCAGACTGCAGAAATGCCACCATGGGCGAAATCTAGATCGCCTGCCCAACAAAATGAGGAATCTTGATTATTGAAGGGGTTGGGAATAGAGCGAACCTTCGGCCATACAGAATACCAAAAGAGATACGTACAGAATACTACTAGGGCAAAAACGGAATAATGACATGATTGGGATTGAAAACCACGGACACAGAAAAATTGAGCCTTATACCTAGACCCCATGTCTGTTCCAGATTGCAGACTTTGTCTTTGCCAACAAACTATCGATTTCTCATGAAAGCGCTCATTGGAAAAGCCTGGCAAATCGTCCTAGCTGAGGGGTCGTATACCTGACCCAGCAGAACAGAATAATGGCTCTTAAAAAAGGTACGGAATAATCTGATCAGTCAATGCTGTGATGCATTCCCTGTGCCAACCTTGCCCGCCATCAGGAGATCCGAAGCATCGATGCTCAACGCTTCGCAACGCGAAAACAGGCGAGCTGCTTGCATTAGTGCCTGTGCTGTGCTTTGCCTTGCTGGGTTTGGGTTTGGGTTGCTAGCCCCCCTAATCAATATTGGTAGCGGAGCCCTGAGGGGCTCTTAGGGATAGTTTAGGTGCTTCCCCGCCTTTTGAGCCTGCAATGGCAGTGCCACCGATCCGTGGGATCATCCGATAGCGGATCCTTGGGCCCAGCCGGGCCAAGTTTTGAGTGAGGAAGCGGCCGCTGGCGACTGGGGCACGACGACTGCTCCTTCGGCGACCGCTGCTGGCGCTGCGGCTGGCGACTGGGGCACGACGACTGCTCCTTCGGCGACCGCTGCTGGCGCTGCTCCTGGCGACTGGGGCACGACGACTGCTCCTTCAGCGACTGCGGCTGGCGACTGGGGCCCGACTAGTGCTTCTACGGCGACTGCGGCTGGAGCGGGCGTGACAGCGGATGAGGTGGCTGCTGCGTGGCAGAATGGTGCTTCGAGATCTCCAGATCCGTCTTCGGCCTCCTCATGAGCCACGGCATCAGGAGGATGGCAAGGAATCTTCGAACCACAACCTCCTGGACTACATGCTCCCCACGGCATTCCTCCTGGGTGGCATCCTGGACTTCCTGTACCTCCTGGAGGTTTCCCTGGGGGTCTCCCTTATGGAGTGCCAGGTCCTTGGCAAGTTCCTGCTCCTTGGCAGATTCCTTCCTGGTCATGGGTGTCTGTTCCAAGTGGTCAGGGCATGACGGCTACTCCGACGATTGCTTCGGCGGCGGCTGCTCCGACGACCACGGCTCAGGCTCCTGTTGCTCCTCGTCCGACCTCGGCGCCTTCTACGCCTGTTCTTCAGAGACGGGTTTTGACTGAGAGGGACGTGAATGGAGACACGGACTCGAGCAGTGCCGGCACCAGTGAGATCAAGAGTATGCTGAGGAAGCGGGCCCGAGAAGGTGAGAGGCCTAAGTCGAGCATTGGCTCGGTGAGGATTGAGGACTTCTATAACGATCGCCGCCGCTTTCGAGCCTGGAGGCGAGCAAACGAGGCGCAGGAAGTTCTTTACAAGCTGGAGCCTGCTGAGCTGGCGATGTTGCTTTACCTTTCGACAAAGGGTGAGGCGAGAGACATCCTGGACCAGCGACCTTTGCAAGACTATACGGCTGCAGGCGGATTGGCTGTGATGTAGACGCTCCTGGAAGAGGCCTTCGGCGAGTCTACCGCAGAAAGCTTTGACGAGCAGAGCGGGAACTGAGTAGCTACCGCAGGCTGCCCGGACAATCTGTGAGCTCCTTTGTGGCGGGCATGAAAAGACTCCGGATGAACTACCTTATTGAAGATCCAGATTCGACATGGTCGGATAGGGCCTTGAAGATCCAGATTCGACATGGTCGGATAGGGCCTGGGCACAGAGGTTGCTCAACCGCTGTTCGTTGTCAAAGCGGGACAGGCTGGATGTCTTCTACAGTGCAGGTGGGGTCTACAACTCAGATGCCATCGAGAGAGCCCTTCGTCCCACCTTCACGAAGACGAAAGGCGAGTTCCTGCTGGTACCCGCTTTCGGGGCTCATCGCGGTCAAGTTCGGCATCTGCCTCGACTCCATCTTCGGCTGCCTCGACCGCTTCGACTCGCAGACCTCTGCGAAAGCACGGTGTTCACCTTGCCGTGCTGGAGGAGGAGGAGCAGGGCGGCGATGACGAAGAAGACTTGGAGCAGGAAGCTTTGGAGGATGCGACCGGCGACCACGGCCCCGAGGAGTATCCCGCTGGCGATGGTGACGAAGAGCTGGGCGAGGACGAGGGCGACTTCATGGAAGATGACTTGGGTGAGGCCGAGGTCTATGAGGCGTTCTCGGCAGGTTGGAAGGCCAAAGCCAAGGTGGCGTGGATAGCGGAGGCCGGCGGCTACGTCTTCATCGGCGACTTCGACCTCATCGTCGGCAAAGTCCCTGAGTGAAAAGAAGCGGGCATCCCATTGCGCTTCGTGCGGGCAGCGGGGGCATTGGCGAGGTGACCCTGAGTGTCCTCATGTGAAGTCAGGCCAGGACCAGCTCCATCAGCCAAAGCGACCTTCCGGAGTGCACGAGGTGAACTTCACCAACTTCACCTTCATGGTCGAGAACTTCGTGACCTGCAACGGCTGTGGAAAGAGAAATGACTCCGAGGCGAACTTCTGCTCCAAGTGCGGCGGCAAGCTGTCGAAGAGGAACTGGACGGTGGTGGGCGATACGGCTCTGGGCGCTACCACAACCTCGAGCGAAAGCGATCATCCTCTACCTCCTCGTCCTATGCGGGACCTTCGTTCGGTGGAGGTCTCGAAGGCGGCCCTTGGGAAAACAAGTGAGCCAGAGAAGAAGGTGAAGCTGAAGCCTGTGGAGGTTTTGGGGGCGATGGACCAGCTGAGCAAGGAGGAGAAGAAAGCTTTGAAAATCCTGCTTTCGGGAGGAAGAGGAGGCGAGAGCTTGGGAAACTTTGCATTCGGCCCCGCTCCCCACCTCGGCGGCTCGTGGCTCCAGCGACTTTGCTCCACCACCTCGACGGCGAGACCATGAAGCTGATCGAGACCAGCTGCCACTTCACCCTCGGCGTGGTGACTTAGCCCGGCCGGCAGGTACGAATCCACCTCCTTTATGTCCGCCCAGTGCCAAGGATGAACATGGTCGGGACAAAGCCAAGGCAGTGAAGAAGAGAGAGTTGGAGGAGTTCCGGCAAGTCATTTACCGCAGCCAATGTGAAGGTGGACGTTGTGTGCCCTCAACTGCTGCTCCAAAGCCAACCTTGTCCCAAGCTCGGTGCAACCATCCTTATGATGTGCTGGTGTGGTCGGCTAATGATCATGGACACTATGCTCGGTGCAAGCGCTGCGACCTCAAGCACATCCTCTACTACAGCCACCGACATGGTGTCCTTATGGTGGGTGCAGGTGGGCCGACGGAAGATGATGTTCGACGGGAGATGCTCAACCTTCGCCTGGTTCTGCTTGGGCTCCGGGACTGGCGGTGGCTGATACTGGCTGTCGAACGGCGGTGGGCGGCGCACATTGGCACCGAGCTCTTCAGGAAGAACTCCGGCGGCTTGGCGTTACATGGGATACGGCCACTGAGGCGGAGCAGTTCCAGTTCGGGAGTGGACCCCCTGTGATGTCGAAGATGGCGTGTTTGTACCCCGTCGGCTTGGGGAATGGCAAGGTGGACGTGCTTCGGATGTCTGTGGTTGATGGGCCGGCCGCTCAGTGCCCTGGACTGATTGGTCCGAGTGAGCTCTCCCGCTGGATGGTGCAGTTCGACTTTCGGAGTCGAGAATTGGAAGTTATGGGCCACCGACGTCCCATGAAGTTGACTCCTACACGTCATCCGGCCATTGACCTCCTGGACTTCGGGAGCAACCTACATCCCTGGGATTCCCCGGGCATGGCAGAGCAGAAGAGTCTCTTGCTGCGTGCACCACAGTCAATGGCTTTCATTGCGGGTGATTCCCGAAATGCAGCGCTCCTGGCCGAGATCGAGGACGAGGAGTCCGAGAAGGAAAGTCATGATCAAGAAGTTTGTTTCTCGGACGACGGCTCTCAAGATGGCACGGATCCCCGTCATCGATACGAGCATGCCAAGCACAAGCGCCAGGCTGAGCAAGACCGATGGCTGGAGTACCTCCAGGAAGACTTGGGAGTGAAAGTCATTGAGGACCACCGCCTTCAGGATGTGGCCGAGGAGGCGGAGACGGCG